GCGTTGGGACGATGAGGGCTCCTTGTGGAAAACACACCAGTCTTTGCACCATTCAGCCTAGGGGGCTGCACTTTTGCCTTATAGCTCAAATGACCATTTTTGTGAAAAACAAACAAAATCCTATTGAAAATAAACCAAACCACTGAGTAAAATATGAGCATACTGATTGGGGGGGGGAATGTAACCCCCTCATACAAATTAACAAAAAGAATGTTTAATCAGTCAGGAGAAAATAATACCACTTCTCTTCCTTGATGGAATAAAGTCATGGGTCTCTAGATCCTTTATACCTCACACAATGACTGGTGTACCGTAGGTCTATGACAGACATTTGTCACATGCCTGAATAAACAATAATTACTAAGTGCCTGCTATTTGCCAGGCAGCATTTTTATAGCCATTTCACGTAATAATCTTAACAATCATAAGACGTATAAATTATCCCTCATTTTAAGGGATGAGGAAATTGAAGCTCAGAAAAGTTGAATAACTTAACCAGATCTTCCTAAAAAAGACATAAAACCAAGAAGCCATGAATAAAAACAATAACAGATCTGAATTCATTAAATCATTAAATTTATTCATTACAAAATGTCATTCTAACAGAAAATGTTAGCTACATACAAAAGGTTCATTTCTGTGGGATATAAATTACTACTACATAAAAAAAAACACAAAGCAAAGGACGAACCAATAGCTAGGCACGGTGGCACACACTTGTGTGGCTCCGGACACTGAGGCAAGAGGATTGTGAGTTCAAAGCCAGCCTCAGCAAAAGCGAGGTGCTAAGTAACTCAGGGAGACCCTGAATATGAATAAAAATACAAAATAGGGCTGGGGATGGGGCTCTGTGGCCAAGTTTCCCTGAGTTCAATCCCCAGCACCAAAAAAGAAAAAGACAAACCAATAGAGGACACTTAGCAAAGAACAGAAACAGGCAATTCTAAATAGCTAAAAAACATATGAAAAGATGATGAGTCTCACTAAATAAAACAAAATACTGTTTCTCCTCTGTCAGGCAAAAATATAAAATACTGATAACATATTGTGCTGGGGAAGGTATAAGAAAAAGGTCATTTGCATAGACTGTTGAAGTGTAAGTGTAAGATTAATTTTAGAGAGCAATGTTGAAAGTAGCTCTCCAAAATCATAAATATGCACACCCTCTGGTCCAGTACATCTACGTTTGTTATCCTACTGATAAAAATGCACAAATACACAAGAAAATGTGTCCAAGGGGGTTTGTCACAGTACTACCATAACAGTCAAATGATCAAAACATGGTAGATCTGTATTTTGCAACAGACAATTTAAAGCAAAAAAGGTATATCTGCATGTACTGCCATAAAAGTTCTCCATGACATAGACTATTAAGTGAAGAAAACATATTCCATTTTTTAAATCAAACACCCACTCTGTGACTATCTATGCTTCTATGTGTATTAAAAAAGGAAAAAATAATAGGTCTGGTAGGACTTACATAAAACTGTTAACAATAATAACCTCTGAAGAGTGTTGGGAGATAGGAGTAAGAAAGGAGAAAAATAGAAATGGTAAATAAAAATCTCTACATACTCCCGAATCTTTTATACCAACTATGTTTTCAACTTAGAAGATCATACAAACTATGTCAGGATACCACGTTTTTCTAATCTACCCATGTCCCCAAATAAATATGAAAAATAACCTATTTCAGAATAAAAAACTTCACATATCCACCAGTAAAATGAGACCAATGTAGACTGCTGATGTTGGCGTGAAGAAGAATGGACAGAGAAAGAATTCCAAATGATAGCAAGTAGTATCTAGATTTCTAAGGCTTCCTGTTTATTGTTTTTGTTTGTTTGGTGTCTTTGTTTTTTTTTTGTTTTTGTTTGTTGGTACTGGGGATTGAACCCAGGGGCATTAACCACTGAGACACATCCTCAGCCCTTTTTTATACTTTATTTAGAGACAGGGTCTCTCTGAGCTGCTTA